GTACATTCCTCCATATGCTCACATGTTTAAACCAGGACAGCTTGACTTGATTACAAACTGTCTCATTCTGAATCATGTAAAGATGGTCAGCTGTCCATGGAAAACCTGGTACACCCACTTGCTCTTTCTTCAGTGCTCCCATTGCTCATGGAAAATCAATATTTGTTTTATTTCTGTCCCTTTGCACTCTTTCCCATGTGTGTTTGGTTTCTGTCACAGCCACCAGTAAATATGGGAACAGCTCAAATTGTGTGGGATGTTATTGCACCTCCTCTGCTGACTGAAGGGTGACTCTTGGAAGAGGAAAGGACACCTAGCTATGTGAGCCTCAGCCACTGAAGGTTGCTTTAACTGAGTTTAACCTCTCCAATAAACCAGATCATTTAAAATTAAACCCCCAAACAAGTCACCGTTTGCAATGTTGATGATGCTGATCACATTATGCAGATATTATCTGGTTCAAGACTTATTAACTGTATCAGATTTACTCCTGGACAAGGGTTTGAGTCCATGGATAGTAAAAATTTCAAGGCCAAATGTGTTTTCACCCAAGTTAATTTTCTTTTGACTTCAATACAACATTGAAGAAAATGTGTAAAGAAAAGTGAGTGAAAACCAAACTAGCTGAAGCATGGGACCCAGAATATCTGTCAATGGTTCTGAGTATCACAGAATCACAGAATGGGTGAGGTTGGCTGGAATCACTGGAGATCATCTGGTCCAACCTTCCTGGTCCCCTGGAGCATGTTATTCAGGATGTCCAGAGAGCTTTTGAATATCTCCAGGGAAGGAGGCTCCAGAAGCTCTCTGGGAAACCTCTTCCAGAGCCCAGTCACTGTGTTCTCTCTACATTTTTACCCTCCTATTGCTTAGGTTGTAACAATGACCAGGGCTCTCCTCCTGGTGCCAGACTTCAGAGAGACCTTTTGAACCTCTTCATTTCCTTTCTGCACACAGTCAAAGAGGTCACTGTTGAGCCAGACTTTCTGCTTAAAGGACTAATAAAACAGCTCTAGCAGACACCAAAGAGTGAATTAATTTCTACCAGGTCCAGAGAGGTTTCTCTGGAGGAGGAGATTAAAAAGCACAGGAAGGTGTGAGCGTGGGGCAGCCTCAGTAACAGGATAACACTTCTTTGATTCCCCAGGGAAGGGAGGTGTCTTTGCGGCCCTTTTGCCTCTAAGCAGTGAGAAGAGATTCATTTGAACATGACAACATCACACATGCCAATAGTGGATCAGTAGGCAGTTTCCTTCTTACCTTCACTATATGTTCATGTACCAAGTAGTATAGCAAGGCAAAAGCACTGCAGTTCCTCAGATATCTTCCAGGGATTCATTTGAAAGAGATGTTCCATCAAATTTGCACATTATCCAGCTACAAAGAAAGGACATTCGTGTGTGCAGGCATTCTGGCAGGAGCTATTTGCTTCGGGGCCAGATGTAATTCAAAGTTATTCTGAATATTACACTGCAGCATCTTAGCCAAGCACAGTAATGCTGATTATTAGGGTTTTCCTGGTTTTCCAGATGGAGCTGATTTCATTTAGTTCTCTCTCTTGTAATTAATAACTTGTCCCTTTTGTTCATTTTGAATCTTTGTCTCATCTTCGGCATTTTGTGGAATAGTATCCAATTTCCTCAATCCATTGCTTGCCTCGTCGGTTCACATAGCAGAGCTCATTCAGCCATACAGTTTAATGATGTGCAGCTCAAACCTCTGCTGCACAATCTCACATCCACTTCACACTGAGCTGGCATTTTTGTCATTTATATTTTATATGCTATAAACTAACAAATCATACCATTTCATACTAGAGCAATGTCAATAATCTTTTTTTTTTTTCTTACAGAAAAAACCCACCAACGAGCCACTAGCAAGCATATGGGATCTGTACGTTCTGTCCTTTAAACAAGTGCAGATTTAGCAAGGAGGGGGAGGGAAAAGGAAGAGAACGAGAGCCACGTTCCCCCACTGCCAACGCAATGCATGTTCCTGCAGCACCAGTATTTGGATTAGGCCCATGGCCACCCTACTTAGGTTTCAAATAAGCAAAAAATAGATGGAATTCAATTCCCCGCTGCCAGTTTTTAGCAAGATTAGGCTTGTGCACACAGAGGAATTTTTTAAATAGCCTTCACATGGGACCAGCTCTTTGCATTGAGAGTGTGCTCATAAATGGGATATCAGATGTCAATAAATGATGAGTGTTTACTCTGTAGGCATATTACAGACTTGTGTAAAATGTTCTATAGGTAGCTAAACACTTACTGGTTACAAACAGGGTTCCACACAACAGCACAGATCAAGCAGATTGCGTTTTTTGTACTTTTAGTTCCTAGCATAAGGCATGGCTCAGTCCAGGACTGGGATCCTAAGTATACTTCCACAATTTAAGCAGCAAATATTAATCTACCAGAGCATATAAACAAATAATTAGTTTGAAGTGTGTAGATGAAGCGGGCTTGCACACAGGGGCTGGATGCTGGAGTACAGCTGTGTGTACGTGCACAGTCCCACACTTTCCGCTGAGGACGGGCAGGGATGTCACTGGGTCCCTCTAATGCTGCTCTGCACAGAGGGGAGTTGAACCACTGACCACTGGGAGCCATACAGCAAAATATCTGTGATGTCACAGCTCTGACCCCAACATCAGTGGGACAGTCACCTCCCCTGGCTGTGTGTACAGTGTTGAAAAATGATGTGGGGGTGCCTAGGCTTATGCTGTTGTTCCCAGGGGAATGTGGGTGGATGGTTGTTCTCTATTTCCTTTTCTTTTGTCCTCCAAATACTTAGAGCATCTGGGACTCCAGTTATTGTATATTTTAAAGCCTTTGTTTCTTTATCCTTCATGCTGCACCGTGACACTGAATGTTTCAAATGAATGAAAAGCCCACAAAAAGCCTACTTTAAAGCTCATCACAATTCGATGCTTGTCTTTCTCTGGGACCACTTTGGGCTTTTTATAACAGAATAATGTCCAGGAGGTCACAACAGAGAGCACTGCACATGACTGAATATTAACTTTTAATAGAGTGCATTTTGCTCAGGAGCCGATTGCAGCCTTCATGAGGCAAGAACAATGCTAATCCTGGAAGGACTCCTAAAATCTTTCATAAGCTGCATCTAATTAAAAGAAAATTAAATACGCAAGAGTTGATGCACGAGTTGTACATTTGTGCATCCCACTCAATGAATGAATCATTTCCCTGCCTTCTCTGACACAGAAATACCTTGCAACCCATTAAAGATCTTAAATATTTTTACAGGTCTAATGGTCCACGTCACCACAAGCCACCCAGGACATGGTCACTGAAGTCCAGAGCTGAGCTGGTGTAACTATAAGTACTTCTGTGATGATTTGCATGGAGGATACATCCAGACAACAGACTGTCTACAAGAGGACATGGTTGTCTGTATCATTGCTAAGGCAGACATCACCCAAACTGCTGTTAAATTTGCAAGGTGGAATTTTTTTTGCATTTCCACATCCCCTCATAGCACATATACAGCATATGTGCTGCTGGAGCAAATCTCAATCGATGCAACTCTACCAACAGTGTCACTTCATCACGGGAACAGCACATGTCCTCACATAGGCCCAGCTGTTACCAGTCACCCCAGTCCTGGTACTGGTAGAGAGCCACAGGGAGCCAAGATCCAAGTGGAAGGTGAATGACAAGGTGGATGGGTGTGAGTGGGTGGAATGGCAGGTGGATCTGGTGTCAGACTGGGATGCAGCACGGGACCAACCAGCCCCTGGCACAGAGCACAGTCCCGCTCCTCCCCAGCGCTCAGGGAAGGGCAGATTCCCATTGCAGACCTGCAAAGCAGAGCAGCCCCGAAGGCACACACGCCTCGTGCTCCAGTGTGCTGGGGACCTGTCAGCCTCACTCATGTCCCTGTAGAGGGCTGGGGCTGGGGTTAGATCAGCAGCTTTCCCGCTGGATTAACACAGAGCTTTGCAGCTCTGCCGGCACCATGCCTGCGCCTGTCAGGATCTATCAGACAGCCAAGGCTTAACAGCTAATAGAGTAACAGAGTGAAGAGAATAAAATTACCCCTTTCTGAAATAGCCAGAAACACCCTAGCTAATGCTGAACACAGCTTATTACTTTACAGAAGGGAGGCTACTGCACTGCTGGGGGCTGCATGCCGTGGGAAGTGCCCTGGCTGCAGTGGATGGTCCATAGCTGAAGGGGAAGAGTGGTTCCCATCCCAACTGCCAATCATGGAATGGGGTTCAGGGGCACTGAGACAACTGGGGTGGACCAGGAACACTTAAGGGGCAGAAAGAGGGGGTTGTGAAATAAATGGCAGTGCAGTGGCTGTTTGCTGCTGATCCCTCAAAATGTCATTGTCATCTGAAGGGTTGAGGGAACAAAGAGAAGGTTGCTCAGGTTTTTGTGCCCTCAGGCTCGAGTTTTTTTTAAATGTATAATTTTAATGTGCACTGATTTAAAGTAAGTCAGGATGAATGATTGCTTTCACCTTTTTATCAAGTCCAGCAGGTCATGGTCAGACAGACCCCACAAGTCGCTCAGCTCCTGCTATGATCCTCACGTGTGTCCTCACATGGCCTCCAATGGCTCTGCGCCTGCGCTCCCCACCCATGTGTGCATCAACGTGACCCCCTCCAGGCATCAGGAGTCAGCTGGGGCCATCACATGGTGGCCGTAGTCAGGGCAGAGGGAACATGTGTCAGACCACAACCACAACCACAGCAGGCAAGTTCCTAGATCTGCTTGTCACCACCAGTTCTGGCCCATCCTCCCATGTCCTCCTTATAAACCACTGCAGAATCAGAAAGCAAATTCACAGCATGTAAATCAAGCTTAGAAAGATTAGAAACATCTTCTCTCTTGAACTCATGTTAGTTACGGAAAAAACGTGCTCAGAGCCAACAGCTGGTGTTTAACAATTTATTCCAGGGGTCAGTGAGTGGGGAGGAGGGTGATGCTCAGTCTCAGCAGGCCATGGCTGGCAGGGTGAAAGCTCAGCTAGAAGTAGTTGACAACTCTCCTGATGGACTGGACGCTGGCACTGCGCGCCTGCCACTCGTTGAAGCTGCTGAACTCGCCGCGCTCCACCACGTACATGCGGCCTCGGTAGTTGGGCTCCTCGTACAGCACCCACCTGGGCACAAAGGGAGGGTCACCTGGGTCCCAGCACTGTGCTAGTGCCCCGCTCTGAGGGGCTGCTTTTAGGCACTGCTGTACTGCAAACCACCAGGGCCTGATTCCCAGTCCCATCCCGCTCCTGGTAGAGTTCTCTGTGGGTGCTTCCCCCCGGCCCCAGCCTGGCCTGGCAAATACCCACAGCCAGATTGGACCTTGCCTTTGGAAGATGTTTTGGGTTACACCACCAATAAAGCCTGGGCCCAAGGGCTCCCTGCTTCACATTACTGTAGGAATGGATCTCTCTGAGCTTCACTGTGTGCAACAGAAACAATTTAATAGCATTTTATAGTGCTAAAGAAGGACATGAGTCCCCTCAGCCCCTGCATAAACCACTTTTTTAGGGACTGTAAGGAGAAATATGCAATGCTTGATGGATGTTCTGCCTCTTTGAACTGATTCATTGGCAATAATGGGAACCATATTTAGTAATTTCTCTCTTTGTTAGTAATTCTTAACAGCCTCTGATGCTTTCCAACAGAGAGCAGGGCTTGGCTTGGTTATCTTTATCTCTACATCCAGAGTTAATGACAACTTTCCCTTGGAATGCAGTCAAATGTATACAACATTCAATAACCTTGGTGACTTTGGCATGCCTGATTTCTTCACCTGGCTTGGCTACATCATTCTCTATCACCCTGGCTTGTGACATGTCTTTCTCCATTTGAAGGTCAGGTCAGGAACAATTCTGATAGTCAGGAAGGACAATTTTGCTGATTTTCTCTCCATTCACTTCATATGATCTTACTGTGGCCACAAGTGTCACCCCTGTCCTCTGTTTGAGTGTCCCATGCTTCTCAACCAAATTTTGCCATTGCTCTGAGTTTTACAGTCAGGTTTCCACCCTGTCATTGCTGAGCTGCTCATCTCTGCCTCTTTCCTCTCATCCCCATATTTTTTTAAGGTTTTATGAGGATTTCTGCTGCTTTTCCCATCTATTTGCTCAGCAATGACAGCAAAGCAGAAATGCAATCCTCCAAATGATTTGGTTTCTGTGGTCTGCCTTTGCAGGAATTTAGCTAGGACATTGGGGTTGGGACTTACTGGATGTGGGATTTCCAGGGAGAAACTTCTTCAAGTACTGGAGGGGTCAAAGACTGCTGGGCCTTAAGGGTCAGACAACAGCTGGTGAACTCAGATCAGTCTAACCCAAAGCAAAAAGCTGGAGGCTTAGGAAAAGAAGTTGTTTATACAACCAGCCACCCACGGGCATTATTTAAAAAACAAAACAAGAAAAGTTTGGGGTATTTATCCAAGGCACTTTACAGGTTCCTTGACATATTTGTTTTGTGTTTCTGAGAGGACATGAAGTAGGACTGTGGTGATCCCTTCTCCCAGACCCCTGTGCAGGAGCAGGACCAGCACATGGATACCAGCATGGAATGCTGTGCCTTGGTTTTGTGAAAGAGCATCCTGTAGTGTCAGAGCCCTGTGTGTGGCATTGCAGACATGTGGCTCCTACAAACAGCCAACCTCATTCTCTGGCACTTGTTGCAGACAGTTTATATCCAAACTGGAATTACAAAGTCATCCTCAGCCTCTGATGCTCACTTTGCAGCACGTGGGGAAGGCTGCCCACTGCTCACCTGTGAGTGCAGTGTACCCCCACCACATATCTCAGTGTGCAGTGACAGAGAGTGTCCTCAGCTTAATTAACAACAATTTATAAAATTTTCCTTCTCTTTGTTTTCAGTTCTTCTGCTTTAAGACATCTTTCAACAACAGGTGGACCCTGGGGAATAGAGCAGGGAGAAGAGCAGCCCCTCACAGTCACCATCTTTCCCAAGATTTCTTTCCAGACACATGGTTGATGTGTCTGCACCATTACATGGAGGGAATGGGACAGGCTTTGGTGCAGATGGAAGCAGACTGAGTGACCTGGTGTGGTGATAAGAGCCCCCACTGGATTGTCCCTCTGCTTAGGGGAAGGCTGAAAAAACCCAAAAAATCAAAGGAATAAAAGGAATAACAGAAAGATGGGGGTGAAATGTGTTGGCAGTGCAAGGTGATGAGTGAAGGACTGTATGGCTTACTTAGCTGCTCCTTTATTGCCTAAAATTTACGTTCTCTGAGACCATCAGTGAGAGGGGAAATCAAGTCAGTCACGAGCCCAGAAAAAAAAAAAAAGGAGATGATCCTGTCCTCAAGCCCAGCATGGGAAAGCTGATCCAGGCACATAACACACAGCCCTTAAACATCTCAGCGCTGTGTTTCATTAGCACATAATCCCAGAGGACATGGGAATAAAATGCTCATGGAACCAACTCAAACTCTGTAAGTCAAAACTGGCTGCTCAAACTGAAAAATGAGGAGGGGAATGCTGTAGCATCAGCCTGAACCAAGCAGGAGGCTTTCACTGGAGCTCAAAGTCACTGATTCTCCATGTAGGACTTGAGTGGTGCCATGGGCAGGTATTGCCTTTGCTGAGAAATACGTGATGTTCATTGGGCAGCAGCATTTGGGTCCCTGTTCTGCTTTGCATTTCACAACCCCACTGCAGAACAGCTACCAAACACTCATGAATGCTTCAGCAGGATAAATGGCTGATCTGCTTCCTTCAGGTTATTCCACTGTAGTGTAGAAGAGCTCTTTTTGGGGTATTCTCTCCTGGACTGCAAAACAAATCCAGTTTTTTAAAATGGTTGTTTCTAGGCTGTCCTCTGTGGAGTGGCTGAGGCACAAAGGAGGACAAGAACCATACATCTTCATCTAAAATCAGATGATACCATATGTGATACTGGAGCTGGCTCTGCCCGTGGGACGGGCGAAGCCACTCACCACAAACCTGTAACAGCTTCCGAGGAGGCGGTGACACCGCAAAACTGCTCTGAAATAGCAATTCACTGCCAGCGTGGCTTAAACAGCTTTACCATCACCCTTTCTGGCTGTGTGGGGTAGCAATTCCCCACCCCAGAAGGGCAGCAGGGAAGGTGCTGAACCCCCTCAGGCTCACCATGCACCATGCCAAAGGCCGATGTTTGTCTCCATTCCCATGTTTCCAGATGATCCATCATCACTTCCCGGGGGCATGGCCACCTCCACAAAGCGCAGGCAGCAACTTTTTATCAGCACATGACACCATCCATGGATTTTGAAATGGAAACAAATATTTCTGTATCCAACAGATGTCGCGTTGTGGGAATTGAGGGTGAAAATCATTGAGCAAGACTGTGGATGAAACTCCCTTTGTCTCCATTGATCCCATCTCCTCTGCTAACCAAACAGCCAAGGATGAGTCCTGGGACAGCTTTGCCAGGTTATGCCCAGCACCACCTACACCTGCAGCACCTCTGGAGGCACCTGGGTTTAGAAAGTCCATCCAAAGGAGGAAAGTGGTGCTATAGGGTCCCTTTCTTTCCCTGCTCCCACCTCTCTGCAGAGGAATCTCATCCTTCCCTCCTTCCTCCTGCAGCCTCTCTGACCTCCAGCAGGTCCCTCTGCATTGTCCTGCTTTTTAATTGCCTTTACAGACCTTTCCAAGCATGTCCTTCCCAGGATCTGAATGTAATGCTACAAACCTCAACGAGTTTCCTCACCACGCTCCTCTCTGTGCTTTATTTTTTTCCAGTTTTTTCTCACTATTCATAGATCTTGAGAAGTCCTGTAATGTCAACACAAACCATCCAGACTCCTGTGTGAGGGAGAGCAAGCTTTGTTCCCTTTATATATTTTGTAGGGGAAGGGGAAAACCAATCTGAAAAATTCAAGTGCTTGAAAGTTTCTGGGCAGTTTCCCAATTTCTCAAGCTCCAGGCTCTGCTACAGGGACTCAAGCAGTAAATTGGCCCTAAAACTCTTGCCAGAGCACTCACAGGCTCCCTCTTGGCTTTGTAGTGTTGGTACTTGAATGCTCAGCACTGACAGGGTCCCTGCTGGACTCCAGCCATTTCTTCCCATCAGGAGTGGGTAGCTCTGCTCCTTAATGAACTGTCATTGCCTAATCATAAGCCTGGATTTTTGGAAGAGGAGAGGCCTTGGCTGGATCAGAAAGAGTCCTGCAGGACACTTGCTGCTGTCAGGATATCTTGAACTTGGATGGCAACAACCTCTCCTTATTCTTAGGGGAAAAAAATGGACACAAAGGGTCCAGCATCTCACACCAGGTGTCTGTGAGCTGCACAATATCCAGTCCAGGACAGGTGAAGAGCAAGGTATCTGTGCTCCCTCCTCTGCAGGGGCTTCCCTGTGCCCCAGTGCCTCCCTCCAGCCACCCTCTGCCTGGCTCTGGGAAGGTGTGATGGCATTCCCGAGCTCCCAGCATGCTTGCAGTGAAAACACAATTGTCAGACAGAGGAAAGGGGAGACAGACAGGTAACAACCTGTCTGACAATGAAAGAAAAGAACACAAAAAGGACCAACACCATTGAGAAAATACAAACTGCCACCAAACATCAAGGAAAAGGCAAAACTGATATCCTGCTCAGGCCTTCAGGAGCATCTGCAGGGGGAGGAGGGTGGGGCTGAGCCTCAGTCTGGGCATCACCATGGCTGTCAGCCCTGTCTTTCAGAGGAAGGATTTCATGTAAAGGGGAGGTGCTCCTGCCTCAATTTTGCCATCATAGGAAAAGGTGTGGTGAAGTCACTTGCAAAGCAAAAGCCCTGACCTGCATCACCTGGAGCTGTCCATCCAACCTCCCTGAGCTTCAGCATGGATTTGAAAGAGCTGTGGAAGGCAAGCAGGAAGGCAGGCAGGAAGGAGATGGTTTTAGGCTTCTTGTTTCATACACCTTAAAAATGTCTCTCAGAGTTCTTGTAGCTCATGCTTAGCTGCCACCCTACAAAAGTCACACCCCTTCGAAGCAGCTCTCAGTGGGCATGCACCAACATTCACCTTTAACAACAGGCTTAACACTTTCAGGCTTTCTCCAAGTGCCCCCAGCACTGACAGGGTTCTTCATGAGGGAGGAGTGTCTGCAGCTCCCTGTCCCCTGCGGTGCCCAGGGCAGGGAGCACAGCAGTGGCTGATGCCAGGACACGTGGAGTTACTTACGCGCCATCGCCGTACACTTTGAGGGCATTGATGCAGGTCTTGTCCCAGCCTTGTCCCTGGAGGAAGGAGCAATCTTCTGTCAGCTCCATGCTGGGACCCCTAAAATGGCTCCCCTCGAATATTTCGATCCTGTAATGCTCACCGTGCTGGGGACAAAGGGATTGAAGTCAACAGCAACAGCAAAAAAGCACGACAAATTATTTCTCTGGCTTTTATAAGACAAAGAGGGAGACAGAAGGGTGCTTTGGAAGGGGAATGTGAAGAGCAATCCAAGACCACTGGTGCCAGCATGAACAGAGCATGCACAAACTTATGCTGCCTCCCAGCACACCAACCATGAAAGCAGACAAAAATCCCTATCCCTGTGCCTGGCTGCACCTTCCTGCACTGCTGTCCACATGCAAACACGGTGTGGGGTACCAGTGCTCAGGCACACACAGCCCCTTGTCCATCTGCAGATCCCCCAGCAGCCCACAAACCCTCATCCCAAATGCAGCATCAGCTGCAGCCCTGATGCTCTGTGCACCCAGACAGGTAAAAAGGAACATATCCCGAGTGTACAAAGATGTTGGGCTACTCCCCTAAACTAATTCAGATTGCCTCCAGTTTCATGCATAGCTGCTGTTCCTGGTGAGAGACGTTGTGCCTTTCTCATAGGAAAATAAAAACAAGGGAGAAAAAGGAAACTTTCCCAGCATCATCATTGCTGTGTGAGCCCTTGATGGTCACACGACACAAATTACTCTGGGGAGATCTCTGCAGCCTGTGGCAGAGCTATGTGGGACAGAGCGAGCTCAAAGGATATTTTTAAGCCAAATTCAAAGAATACCTAAAGGTGTTTTTCAAATAAACAACGTCAGTGCACAAGAAGGCCGGGCTGCCATGCCAAACCCCACAGCAGGCAGCCGCCGGCAGCAGCTGAGGGACACCGTGCCTGAGCAAACATTCCTCCGGGAATCCACACTGCACAAATGCCTTGCAGCCCTCGCTGGCATCTCACAGGGAAAATCTTAGGCCAGGAAAGGAGGAGCACATCCTTGTGCTGGCCAGGGTCCAGGGCCTGGGCCAGAGCATCCCTCCACGTACGGATCATGGAGGTGCTTTGGGAATGACGTTACAGACCTGAAAGAGACCTGCTGCTGTGCCAAAAGCGATTTTGGGGCCAGTGAGAAATCCCACCAGCTCCAGCTGGGCTCATCATTGCCCTGGAGGACCTCAGTGATAGGAGAATTAATGGACAGACCCAACCCATATTCAGTTTTCTTTGCTACATTTTAATCTTCCCATTTAAACCTTCCTCAGGTTAGTGTTTTTAAAAGCTTGATACAGGGAAGGGAAAACAATGGGTTTAGTTTAGGATTACTGGGGTCAGAGGGTGGTTTGCAACAGCAGAGAATTCAACTAAAATTTGCTAGGAGCAGCCCTATGGTCTGCTTGGGAAGCCCTTGGGCTGCCCTCTCCCCCTCTGGGTCTGTGGGGAGATGCAGCTGCTGCAGCTCAAACTTGCCTTGGGCAATGAATCTCTTCCGAATTCCCTTGTGAATATCTCATAGCAGCTTACATTAAAAGAAAAAGCACTCAGTACCAGCAGGACCTTCCCATCTCATCTAGAAAACCACAGGAATATCTCACCCTGTTAGAAGCACTGTGTTTCATGGTGGGAGGAAGAAGATGTATCTTCCTCCTGTCTGGGGACACAGGGAGCTGTCTCAGCTTTGTGGCCTGCACAGACTGCTCTGAACGGGGACAAATCCACCCAGAAAACCTTCCTGCTCAACGGGCCACCCTATTTCTAAGGAACAGATTTTTATGGCACTTATTCACAGGGCTCCTGTGACCAGGACAAACTAAACCCAGCAGTGCTCCGGCTGGGAGAGCCAACGCCAGCAGCGTCCCACTCACCATCCCGATGGGCCGGCAGGAGCCCAGGTGGTCGCTGCGTCCGTTCCAGCGGTAGAAATCGGGATACTCGCCGTGCTCCAGGATGTACTGCTGCCCTCGGAAGTCGGGGTGGTCGAAGCAGACCCAAGCTCCACTCTGGACGCAGATGGAGTTGACTCGATTGAGGAAACCTTGGTCCTGGAAGCTGTTGCAGCTGCCACAGATGTCCAGCTTCCTGCCTGTGAAGCATCTGCCTTCGTAGAAAGTGATCTGGGGGAGGGAGGAGAAAGGGCCCGCGGTGAGGAGCAGGGACACGGCCGGACTCCCATTCCAAGCAGATGGGAATCTCTTACAGATGCATCATTTCAGGATGGTTTGGTTTATTTTAGCTGCTTTCCAGCAAAAGGAGCACGGCATCACTGGCATTTTTTCCTAAGAAGCGTATTTGTTTTTCTGGGAACGCAGTGCATCCCGCATTTATGACACTTCTCGCTGCCTCGTGCTCACTCACACATATTTCCAGCAGGAATGTTTAAACAGGAAATTCGGCTCCCGAAAGGCAACTCCTTCTGCCGCACCCTCCCCATCCCTGACACCAAATTTGCTCCCAGGATCACCACTCACACCCCGTCTGCTGGCTCTATTATCCTCATCAGCTCCTTCCACCCGGAGGATGCTCCAGCTCTCCGGCCCCAGGCTGAAAGGGAAGCAGTTGGGTCGTTACTTACTTTTCCTGAGTACTGAGACATTTTCTGCTGGCTGTTATCCAAGACCAAGAGCGGGAGCCAAACCAAAACGGCGATGGACAGATCGTTGGACACCCCACTATATAGGGGCCGTCAGGGGGGGGCCGGGCTGGGGCTGGTGTCGTGAGGGCTTTTTAACAAAGCCGCGGGAACCGGGGGCTTTGCGCTTTCCTGCTTCGTAGGCAGAACCGCCGGTAACGGGGCCTGCTGAGTCCGGGCTTTTGATTTTGGGCAGATGATCTGACAAAAGATTTGCTTGGCAGGGCTTTGGTCGATTAGCAGTGCACATTTACTGCTCCTTTTTGGAGGACTTCTTTTTTTTTACTTTTTTGACCTTTTTTTGGTTTTTATTTCTATTTCTTGTTTCCTTCCCCCCTCTATTTTCCCCTGGGGTTTTTTTCTGTCCTTTTTCCTCAGATAACAAGTAAGTGAGGAAACAACAGCATCTCTAAGCATGGCATGTAATTTCTCTGTGTCAGGTTTGCTTTATCCCAGGTTGTTCCCACCTATTGCAATGTGGCAGCCAAGAGAGGGTGTCCTTGAAGACTCCTCACCAACAAATATTACACTCCATCTGTTAAACCAATGGTCTCTCATTTAACCTTTGAACCTCTCTAAATGGCACCTCCAAAAGCCAAGGATCTGATCCCCTCCAAAGTGCAAAGGTTGGGCTCACAAGCCACTGATGTTATTCAGGAGCATCGTTCTCAGGAATGTTTTGATCTTCCAGTATTGAAGCCCTGACTCACAGCTCTAAGTCAGGATTAGAGGGACTTTTGGACCATAGTTACCATATTAAAGTAAGTTACATTGCAGATATATGGGACCATAAAGTCCTCGTCTGTGTTATAAGAATATCCAGAGATTTTAACTGCCATATTTCCAGGACAAATAGCAAAGGAGGCTCCCAGCCCATAAACCCCATCAGTTTATACTAATGAGCCAGACTAGGAAGAGGTAAAGGCAGATGTATGGGGGTGGCCCATGGACCAGCATGCAGAGACGTACCAAGGGGCCACAATAAAAGGAGATTTGTCTTTTATGCTTTTTAATAGCTCTGGAAGAGACTTCACACACAGCTCCTGCTCATTGAATCCTCCTCACTCACAGGACTCCCATCATCTCCCCTTGCTGCTGCCTCTCTCCCTGGACCATCAGGCACATGCTTCAAATCCAAACCCTAAAACCTCCTTTCCTGGCAGGTTGATCCCATCCTCATGCACACCAGCAGCCTGGCTCGGCAGCCCTGCTCCGCTCACCACTTCATCTCGAGATTAAAGTCTGCTTCAGGAGAAAGGAAGTCATTATTAGGGCTCAAACATGCACCACCCTTTCAATTAAGATGTAAAAGTTAATAATTGTGTGTGCAGACACACGTAGGCTGAGCCAGAGGATGTCGCTTACTGGGATGCACTGGAGGAGGAAGGAGGGAGGTGGCACTTCGTGCTGGGAGAGGAAACACATCCTCCAGCTGACGCAGGCAAACCTGCCCCGGTATTGCAGGAACACAGTTCACAAATATGTATTGTGCTGTGAGGCAGGAAACAATGAAAAACCCTCATCGGATTAAAAAACCAACCTTGCCCAAAACCTCCTTGAAATGCTGGTGGTAATTTTAAGGTGTTAAATTAATCACCAGATGGTGCAGGGAAAAGTAACAGCATGCAGAAAGTCCCACTTGGAAGAGCTGCAGCCAAGATGGGTGGGCATTAGCTCCCAAAAACCAGCCATTCCCTGTGGCCTTGCAGTGCCCTGGGAGGGAAGGAGAAGTTCCTCTTCTGAGTCATGGCTGGGAGCACGAGGACAATGGGGTGGCACCACGGGACCCAACTGGCATTGGGACCCAACTCTCCATCCATTGGGGTTGTAGCTCACACACTCTTTGCATTCGGCCATGAGCTTGTTGGGTGCCTGGAGAGGAAGACCCTTGACATCCAAGGCAGACTGTCCCAAGGCATCCAGGAAAGCAAATACTGCCTCAGGAGATTTTTATGGAACCACAAAAGCCTGGTTTCCTCTGGCTCTGTCTCATGAGGGGTTTTCCTTAAGGTGTGACATTCAATTCAATGTGCAAGAGCTTGATGAATCTGAGACTTGTGCTCAGCTGTCAGATTTCTTAAAAATTATCCAACAGATTCAAAAAGCTATTTCAGGAGAGATGGAAAGAGGTTGTGGCAATTTTATCCCCATTTTTTGTGAAACCACGTTAAAGACATGAAATAAGAAAGGACCTATCTCTAGAAAAAAAAGAAAGTGATGGGAAAAAAAGAATATTGAAGAATAGCAAATCATAATTCCTGGACAAACCCCCTTAACTCCTTGCCAAAGATGGAAAGGCTGCCAATGGAAGAGAGAAAGAGTTAGTAGCTACTAACAGCATTTCAGGCAAGTGATGCTGGGGCTGACCTTCCCTCCTGATGCCCAGGTGCATCTGACCATGATCCCCACAGCAAAAGGGCTGTGGGCAGCTTTCCTCCACTGTGGCTGCTTAAAGGATGAAACACTGGGAATGAACTTGTAAATTTGAGTATTTGGCTTTAAGTCAAAACCCAAAAATATGAGATTCTTTTGTGGGTTTGGTTTAGAGGGAGGAATTGGGTTTGATGTCCACAAAGGCAACTCCATGCTGTGCTATCCCTGCTGGCCTTCACTGCCACGAGACTGAGGAGTGAAGTGGTAAGAGACAATTTGCTCTCCAGATTGTCCAGGCCAGAGCCAAGGGAGCTGAGCAGGGTGTGACTCCTGGAGGTGAATCTTTGGGAATGACCTCACTTATGAGAACAGCAATATTCAATGTCAGAGGCTTAGCAGGATTAGCATTCTGCTCAGAGGTACCTCCTATAGCTGGTACAGCCCCACACAAATAACCATTAATGGAGCAGCAGCCAAGGAGTTGCTCCACATCCTCTGAAAGGGCCACGCTTCAGCTTCTGGAGGAGCCTGTAATGTTTGCAAAGCAGTTTAGGACCAGGCACGGAAAATCCCTAGCTCAGGGCTTTCAAAACACCATCTTGCTTTGAAAAGCTCATAGATTTTTCACATACCTCAGTATGAGATACTTTGAGCTCATTAAATATGAAACAAACATGGGTCTTGCTCCTTCCCATGGAAAAATTTTTGGCTTGCTGCTGGGAATGGTGAGCACATCCTCTGGGCCTCCTCAGAGCAGCAACAGACCTGAGTGAGAAACTATCTCATGACTCAAGGGGGAGTTTCCATGTGAAATACACGTTGCTTGTCAAAAGACCTGGCCCACCTCAGACCAGCTGCCAAAAGTACCAATTTCTGCTGGTGATTAACCCACTCTCTGTACCTGAGTGCACCACATGCTGCCTCCCAGAGCTGCCAGGGGAACTGGGAACACTGCAGAACATCTCCACAAAACATTCAACCCACACCCTCACTGGCAGAATACATCACCTGCTGCTGGAAATGGGAATCAGCTTCCAGGCAATGGTTTTGGGTTCAATGTGTTGTCTTCAGCATGGATGCACTGTGACATAAAAATCTCCGGAATATCTCTACCAAGGGTGGCCATCCCACACCCTGACCCACCACCCATCCCATGTCAGCAACACCTCATGTCACCCATGTGGGGTTAAGGACTCCAAAAAACCTCCTCAGACTCAGCAAACCCTGTTACAAAATAATCGATCTGACCAGGTTTCTGCTAGGAAAAACAGCTCCTCACCTTGGAGAGGAGACCTGCTGGTCAGGTTTAGCCAATTATGGTCCTGTTTTCAGTAATATTCTGTCCAGGGATCATCACACACCTCAGCATCTGACTGAGATGAGACTTGGACTTCACTTTGGAATGTCTCAGAAAGCCTGGGGGGTGAAATCCTTCCAGTTTTCATTGTATTTCAAAGAAGTTCCAGTAGGGGAACAGGATATGCAAGGAAAAGCTGGATGCTAAGGACACCCATCACCCAGACCAGTTCAGCCACACTTCTGCATACTCACAATAGTTGAAGGGATCTGTGCAAAGGTTTTCACTCCCTCTCTCCAGTTGTCAAAAGGGAGCAATTTTGACCTTATTAGATGAAGTTGTGAAGATGAGTCACTATTAGCAAAACACTCTGAAGATGAGCAGTCCTGATTACATAAGGGCTAATTAGAAGCTGTTGATTTCTCCTTCTGGAGAGGCTCAGCAGTGTTAATTAGGAGGGTAAGCCCAGCAAGCCTGGGCACATCATCACCACCTGCACTGCGCTCGCACAGCACCTGGGGACATCTGCATCTTGTCCAGATATGACAGCACAGCTACTGCAGGCACACAAGAACAATGAAAACACTTTTCCAGCTTTTTTATTCTCTACCAGGGACTCACCAACCCTTTACAGAAGCTGGGAAGAAGCATTACAAAGCAGGCCCCACAGACCCAGAGCCAACTCCCCAAACTCCCTGTCATGGAGTTAACCAGGCAGGGACAAACTTTGTTAGGCATCGAAAGAACAGGAAAAAGGAGGCTCATGAATTTATTTAGCACCTGCACTCCATCCTGCCCCTGCTGAGCTCACCTGCCCCACTGCCTTACTCATCCTCAGCATTTCCAGGCACGGCAGCTTGGAGATGGGCAGCTCCAGCCCTGGGACTCAGGATTATTCACACAGCAAAGCAAGGAGTTGGACAGGGGCACAAACAAGGCAGGAGTCACTTCCAAACCAGGGCACTGTAAATCCACACAAGTCAATGAGAGTTTAACATGACTTAGCATAGTTAATCTTCACATAACCACAGAATGGCTGGGATCAGCAGGCACTCCTGAAGGACACTTGGCCCAACCCCTGTTCAAGCAGGATCACCCAGAGCAGGTTGCTTGGGACCATGTCCAAGTGGCTTTTGAGTATGTCCAAGGTGGAAAACTGGTGGACTGTGCTCAACCTCACAGTAAAAAAATTTTGCTAATTTTCTCAACAGGAAAAGGACCTTTGCCCTTTTACCTTTGCAAATGATCATCCCTGAAGAATAAAGTTATTAAGTCTACATAATTCTTTTCCTAGCCTGGATCAGAGAACTTATACAAGACTGTATAAATTCATCAAGGAAAGTAGCAGTTTGCTACAAAGCATTATTCTGTACCTGTACATAACAGGACTTCCACAACTGCTCAGCCCCTCCCCACCTTCAGGGCTGTCAGGGTGAAAATCCAACCTGTGCCAGCTCAGTACAAGGAAGCACAAGGCTGCCCCACCCTCTGTTAGACTCCAGCTGCTGAAGGTGCCATCCTGAGAAGCCAGGTGAAATCTCTGCAGCCAAGGATGAGGAGGAATTCACTGATCATGCTTGACTACACATTTCAGCAGAACTGCAAGACTATTGCACATGGCTGGTCTTTAGATCTTATTAGCAGAGAAAGGCTTGGACAAGTGGAATAATTTCCATTTTTTACTGGATGAAGCAGAAAGAGGAAGAAGGGAACAACATATGTGGATGAGTTCAATTGTTCAGCTATTATGGAAAATGCAAGAGCAGTACACATCTCTCAGTGCTGAGTACATTAACTGAGCTGGAAGGGACCCAAAAGCCCATCCAGTTCCAACCCCCCTGCCATGGGCAGGTTCACTTTCTGCTAAACCAGGTTGCTCAAAGCCCCATCAATTCTGGCTTTGTGGAGCATCCATAAACTCTGGCCAGCCTGTTCCAGTGTATCACTGCCCTTAAAGAATTTTTTCTATTAATTACTCTAAACCTACTCCCTTGCAGTTTGAAGCCATTTTCCCTTGTCCTATCACTACATAGCCTCGTGAAATGTTCCTTTCAAGTCTCAGAAATTCCCACTACAAATCATCCAGAGAATCTGCTCTTGCCTTTAAGCCCTTTTGGAAAGCCTCACCACTGGAAGGCAGGACCTGAGTTACCCCAGACTGTTAAAACTGCACGTGCCCTTATGCCTCTCCTTTAAAACTCTTAGCAGCTGGCACACCTCAAGAAGCAATGCAGCAACTGGGGTTAGACTGATGCCAGTACACCTGCAGCCAGGTCTTTTTGACAAAAAAACAGAGCAGATGTGGTCACTGAGGTTTGTTTTACTCCAGAATTTCCACCCTGTGACGCAGAACACAACACTGTGTCTGTGATGCAACGCCACAGCCTCGGGTCATGCAACAGCTCATCAGTGCCTGGGATGGATCACACTGAACTGACACACCCCGTGCTGGGCTCCTCCAGCCATGCCCTGCAGCCTCAGCCCTTCCACCAGAGCCAAGCTACCCTCGCTCCAGTGCTGCAGGCTCTTGGGCAGCAAACAGCCCCAGCTCAGTCTGGTTCCCAAGTCAAAGCATGTTTCCCTGAATGAGCTCCCTGCTGAACTCCAGCAATCCATCGTGCATAACAATCATCCAGCTACTCAACCTGTGCTTGGCACAAGGTGTGAGAATTCATAGAAAACAGGGTTTTCAGAAACACTGGGAAATATCCTAAGTGGAGAAAAAGGGCAATTTTTTTTTTACCAGTTACTTTCATGATGACCAAAGAAAATACCGGGCTTTCCTACATACACTGTTGAGAGGTTTAGACCATTTTTTATATCCTATGAGGGAACAAGCACACAAAGAAAATAAAGAACCAAATGCATGATTTCTATCTTTTAGCACAGACTGGAAGGTAAAACTAATTCTGGTTGCAAAAACACTCCAACTTTCCTATGTACTCCTGTCAGAAATTAAGTTTTCAAATGAACACAAAAATGCAGGCTAAACACTTGATTTAATTAGCTGTTCCCCAAGTCAGCCTTGTTTGTTTTTACTGTTTTGGGTTTTATTCCGCTGTTCTATACAAAGTAGGTCAACTGCAAATTTTTTAAATATAGAGTAGTAAGTAGTTTGTTACCAGACTTGAAATATTACGGCTTGCTAAGCCTCCCGTCCAAAAGCCAAGGAAAAGCTTGGAGTTGGTCAGAGAAAGCTGTGCAGGAACCCTGAACTGTGCATGGCCAGGCAGCAGGAGGCCGCTCACCTCTACCAGGAGCACAGGAATTCACAACAAACAGCCCACACTGATTTGTTCAGGACGTGCAATTTATTTTAAATGACATTTTTGTTCTCTTAACAAGTCTATGCTCGTGACCTGAATAAATCCACTCCATCCTGACAGCACTCCCAGTCACAAGTCCACGTGAACAGTCCGTAGCGCAGGAACTCGGGGTGGCTCTGCACACCCTTTACTCAATGGTTACAGAGGAAAAACACAGAGCAGGTTCTGACTGAAACCCAGGACTTCCCTTCCAAATAAAGCTGGCACTTGTCTCTCCTTCCCGTGACTGGGCACAAAGCAAAGCAGAGCTGCTTGGCCACCCTGGAGTTCCAGTAGCAAAATCGTTTGGGATCACTCGCAAACAACTTCCCGAGCAACAGTCAAACAATCCACTGGCTCCAAGGATCTCACGCCTCCTCTTAAGGTCAGCAGGTGAACATTTTTCACAAAAAAAAACCAAAAAAAAACCTTGATATGGAGTAATCAACAAAAAATTATAAACAGAACATTTAAGGTTTGCAGCTATTTTATTTACAAGTATACATTTAACACAAAGAAACACTGATATCCAAGCCTAGTTAATAGTAGTGTAACAATATGCATCATTTTGATGATTATTCTAACCAACAAACTACACTGAAAAATTAATGCCAGTAAAATTCTTGGTCATAATATTAAGAAATACAATACATAAATTGAAAATATGATTGCTTAAAATTTGAAAATGGAAGTGAAGCCATTTGCACAGGAGTCAGAGTTTAACATAATCTGAAGGGAAAGGCTCCAAACCAACTGTTTATCTTTCAGGTTAACAGAAGAAAAAAAAAATAAAATTAAAAAAAGGAAAAAAAAAAAAAAGAAGCATAGTTTATCCTTAAAGATAATGGGCAGTTTTGCTTCTTCAGGTAGAATGTATTCCCAGTGTTTTCAGGTTCTGCAGTGGAATTACATTACTGAGCATGAAGACTTCCCTTGTGAAGCTGCCCCATCGATTTTTTCTGCCTCCAAAATTATCCTCTTAAAAACATCAACGGCAGTCTGCAAAGAGAGAGCACACCATTAGGAGGGAAGGGGGGACTGCCCACTTACTGAAAGAACAACTGAAAAAATGTTAGCAGTTTTACCAACTACATCAGCAGATAAACCCACATCCAATGCTTATTCCAAAAGTGAGGAGGGCAAACACAGTAATTTTGGTTTTAAAGGGAAGTGCAAACCTCTATCCACAGCAATCCTCGGCAGGGAGGGCAGACACAAACTGAGCCAGATTCACAACAGAGCTAATAACTGTAATCACCTCACTTTGCCTGGTGAGCCTGCCCTGGTGACTGACAGCACAGAATGTTTGGATGCTGTGCTGCTCCAGAAAATAAACCAATCCGTTTGCTCTCAGTAATCTTTAAGATAAGGAACAATTACAGAAGGCAGCAGATTTTTCAGGTCTCAACACTGACTTTGCACAGCTCAGTATAAGGGGTGACTTTATTACACTTGATTTTCTCATTGTCCCTATGAGTAAGATCAGTATTAGACACGGTGCAAGGACACAAGGGGAAAGCACAAACTGAACTATCACTAATATTAAGCAATATCCTTTGATAAAGACCTCCTGAGAGAAAAGGGGTTACATTTTAAATAACCTGAGCTGCATGACTAGAGCTTCAATGTGTTCATCTTCAGCTTGGAAATGGTCACCTGACCATCTCAGGCCACCATCTGATTCAACCTCTGGCCATCTACTTCAGGAACTCCAAGCACAGGAAAGTATTTATGTAAAAGCAGTCATGCTAGAAAGAGGATAAAAAGGGAGTTTTGCTGGTTTTAATCAGCAGGCTGAAGAGCACTCTGTGATTTATGGCTACATACTCTGATTTAACAGATGTTTTTCCACCTCCACAAGACATAATTCTTAACTGGATCACTTCCAAATTAATGTCATTGACTGAAGCCCCACAGCAATCTTAACAAGATTAGATTTAATGTTCAAGTTTCCCACATATATACTGTTTGTGCACAGTATGATCTCTGGAACTATTTAAAGTACTTCAGCAGCTGGAAAATAGGGTATTCCTCCATATAATGGAGTTTCCTGCAATCCCAACAGAACCTGACAGAACTGGCTCATTAGTTCAGTAATGATACAACACGTTTCCTGAGCAAATTAAGACTTTAGAAGAACCATGGCCAGGACTGCAGTTGCTATCAAACTGGTTCCACTAATGACAAGTTTCCCTTAATCAAAACCTGGTGGTGCACTGATTTACAAATATACTGCACCATCATTTTCTTAGAGTCAAAATTTTCAATGGTTTCATTTTAACACTCAAGTTCTTTTTGCCCATGTGTCACAGCACCCATTAAAACTCCACAACTTACTCTGTCAACCAAAAAGCTGTACATTCCGTCAAAGATGAGCTGTTTGAAGCACTAAGATGCAGGAGTTCACAGGGTATGTTAATTCATTTCACAGAAAATATGGATTCACTGGGAAGGTTTAATTACCGTCCTACAGTGAACGCCTTGGAATTTGTAATTCAGCTCAAACGTGCTGAAGAGTTTTAGATTGACCCTTTAAACAACACAGGAAGATGTTTTGTGACAAGGAATAAAGGATGCAGCCAGACTTTATATGCATCTGCCTCCATATGGTCCAGATATGGAATGTGGGTCACACGCAGCCCACAGGAAGCCATCTGGCTTTTCCCTCTACCTTTCTCCCAGAGCAAACAGAAGAGATGCCAGCCTGGGCAACACCTGCTGCCCACAGAGCCCAGCAGCAAGCAGGGGACACCAGAGGCTCAGCTGGTGCTGCAGATGTGCCCTCGGTGTGAGCAGGACAGGCAGCTCGGGAGGCAGATTCCCTGCACGGGCAGGAATGTGCTGCCAGGAGCCAGCAGGAGGGTGCAACCACCCAAATCCAGCCCACAGTGCTGGAGTCACCCTTTGGCAAGTGTTTTGTTATTTCAAGGAGGAAACTCTCAGCTGTTCACACTACTGATTTATCCTAGCACAGAAATGGGCACAGGAATTTGAACAATAGCCAGGTAGGTAAAAGACGGATTTTTCTCCCTGTCCTTTGCCATTCCAAACATGTCAGATCCCTGGATTCCAAACTACTCTGAAGCATTTACTAAGCAGTGCATCTTCTGAGCTCCAAGACGAAGCTACCCTTAAAAAAAGAAGCACAACCAAGCAATTATTTTTTAAGAGAGCTCCATTTTGGTAAGAAACAAATTTTTTGCTACTTCCTTGCTCCTTATGCGATTTATCTAATGCATGTTGCACAACTGGATGAACACAATTTAGCTGCTTGTTACTTCCTAAATTCTTCCAGTAGAAGTTGGCTTCCAGCTTCACCTGGGTTTAAGACCACTTTGGATTCTGGCTGTATTTTCAAGAGTGACTTTATTGCACCAGGATTAAGATGAAGCACTCTATTACTGCCTAGATGTCACTGCCTAGGGAATTCCACAAGAAAAAAACTTGAAATTCCTGAAGTTAGCTGAAGCAGTTCAAGATGTCTGGTAATAATTAAGCATCTTAAGAATATGTGACAGTAACAGCCCAGCAGTCATCATAGAGTCTTTTCCATTAAGTGCCAGGACTGCCTTCCCAAAGCCCAGGGATTTCCCTTGATGACTGAAGTGCTGGTAATATGCAGACTCCTCCCAAAGTCCTACCAGGTCACACATGTCTGGAGGAACTGGCACATACTCAAGTTTATCTGACCTTGAGAACGCCTGCCAGCCACTATCATTTATCATCACCGCAGCTTTGATCTTTGCCTCTCTCACTTTCCATCTACTCCAAGTCATGCCACTTCTGGGATGTGTTATCTTTTGATAACTCTTGGCAGAATAGGCAGTTTGTTTAAGTTAATCTATAGAACTATTTTAATTGCCCAGTGTAATTTGGTTATTTATGCTCCATGGACTCTCACAGATGCTCCAAAATGGATTTTTAGAGGGGTTAAAGCAGAAAGGTAGAAAAGAGGGGAAAAAAGCCTTTTTGCTATCAGGGACACACCCCCTCTCCTCACCACTGTGAAGAGCATCATGTACACAACCACTCTCAGACCAGCACACCAGAAATTTTCACATTTCTGCTCCAAATCCTCCAAATACAGATGGGTCTTGGTTTCAGAGAGAATTAACAGATATACCCTCAGTCAAGAAGCTTTGAACTCTCTGCTCAGGTTCCAAATCCCTCATCCCATTTAGCTCATGCCTAAAGCATAAACCAGCTTTCTGTTAAGCAAACAGAAGCTGAAGCACTTTTGGAAGGAGTTTGGAATTAATCTGGATAGTCAAGTTACATTTGCAGTACCAAGCCAGTGCAGGTGATTACTTGGATGAACCTCGATACAGAAAGTGCCAACCAACTTCTTTTTCCAGCAATGTTGGCTTATATAAGGTGAACACTCAGTACCAGGAAAATGACAACACAGCTTGTTACCCAGTTCAAAACAAACCCTTCCCCTCCCAGACCAGACACAGCTTGAGAGTAAGAGAAGATACCCTGTCCTGACAGAAGTCTATGTATCAGCACTTTTAATCCTTTCACATTAGGATTTGGAGGAGAAAACCCAAATGAGTTCAGAAGCGCTACTGCTCCAACTCACAGGGAGGGATGTTACAATGCCTGGTGTCTCCTTCTCCCCCAGCACCTCACAACTCCAGACTCCACACTTGGCTCTCAAAACTCAATCTTCCACCTCTTCAGAGCTGGAGATGTGTGAGAAGACTGAGGCAGCTGTGCCAGTGTTGGGCTCCTTCCCACTTTATTCCACACGTCCCAAGCCTCCAAAGGAAACACGCCAGAGAGCCTGAAGGATGGTCACATGCTGTGGGCACCTGTCTCAGAAGTGACACCTGATCTGCCAGACTTCTGAAGATGGACAAATTTACCAAGTGTATCCAAGTGTATTATATAGCAGGCATGAAGCAGGAATTGTGCTCGGGCACCTGCCTCTAACAACCTGCTCCTAAATGCAGAGGGACGGAATTTACAGCAACCTGCGATCACTGCTCTGAAGGATCCTGCAGAAAGGAAGATCTTTGACAGCCAGAATGCACAGGACTTCTGAATTCTTTTTGTGGGATTTGTCCAGGACTGTCCAGGATTTTGACTATCTGACATACAACTGCCATTCTGATGTCCCTGAAGGGTACATGTTTGATATATAAACTCCAGCTGGGAGCTTAACTTAATACAGGAACACAAATACCTGGCAGTACAGGGGACTTTGTCAGTGCAGCAAGTTAACATACAGGACATAACAAGCATCCTACAAAGCTTGTAGCTTCTTTACAAAAAAAAAACCATGACATTTTTCTCCTTGGTTCAAGAACAGTAAAAACTCCAGAAAAGTTATCAGTAAGATATTTTTCTGCTGGATATGGATTGCTGTGGTGTTACACATTGAGAACATATGCCAAATGAAAGAGAGCAGGCAACAGCTTTGCCTAATCCAGAAGCATTAAACTATTTAAAGGGGTGGAAAAAAAGACCAGACATTTTTAACAGGTTTATTCTTTACACTGTCAATTTAATTTCCTCTGGTATGTATTTGAAGCTCTCCAGAACAGAGAGAAGATATTGAGAAATTTCATGCTTCCATCATGTGCCGTTTTGACAAGGTTAATGCAAGTCTTAGCCAGAAACAGAAATACTGATAAACTAACTCCAAGTGTTCTATATCCCATAGCAAAAAAATAATCCAAGTTTTTCTTTCAGAGAAAAATCCAACTTCACTCAAGTAACTTGTACTATTGTTGACCATAATCAGACAAAATGATTATTCCCCCATTAGAGCGACTCAGCCTGCCCAGCACTTTAAACACGAGGGTTCATCCTCTTATACCACCTCACTGCTCTGCCAGCAGTGACTCCTATTTAAGGTGAAAGACCCTGTTCCACCCACCTCATGGATATGAGTTTGTCACTAAGTGTTCTGATATGTTCAGTGAAGCTGAACTTTCAGTTCTTTCACTTCCTCCTCCCATTGACACTTGCAGGGAAAAACTTGTGTACATATACCTGAGTGCAGACAGCTGTTCTGCTTCCATCTACACAAAATATCTGTACAGTGCATGCAAATATTTTAGCTTCCCTTATTTAGTGAAACTCTGAGTCATCCATTACACTGCTATTTGAATAAAGTGACTCTTAAATCCATTACCTGATTTTCTTTAGCAGAAGATTCCAAGAAAGCTGCATTCCAGGATTCTGCTAAAGCTTTCCCTTCTTCATAGCTGATCACCCTGACCAGAGAAAGAAAAATATCTTTGTTATAACTTGCAGAAGAATTGGAATCTGATATGTTAAGAAATACCTCAGAGTACCAAAGTATTGTAATAGGAATGCCTTGTGAAGTCTGATCCAAAGCATTTGCTTTTGGCTGCTGTCAAATGCACTTCTGGGCCAGGTAAAACTGCTCTGTGACCCAGAAAAGCAGTTGTCCCAAAGTATTGCTTTGTTTTCATAATCTGTAATATCTGGTATTGCTGCTATGACAAATACACTTCTGTTACTTACTTTGAAAAAAACCCAGAGTGTTAAATGACTGTCCCTGGAACCTCACTGCAAAAATCAACATTACAACAGAAGTTCATGGCTCGTAGTTCACATTCTGAACACAATTCCTTTGCCAGTAACTTATTTTGACCTAAAATTTGATTTTAGCTCTGGAAAGCCAAGAATAAACCCAGCGCGCTGCAGCCACAGGAATGCGGGCTGCTGCCTTGCATTTCCCACATTCTGGAGTTCACATACCGTTCCATATGCAGGTCTTTTTTATTTCCAACCAGCATAATGGGTATTCTGTGGAAGAAAGTTCAGAACTTCAGAACAGTTACAGTATACTGAACAAAGCACTAGCAACATGCCTGCAATGAAATGAGATGAAAGTGTCACTACTTACTGGACTTTTCCCACCATATCCAATAACTTGCCATGGATAACTTTTATCACTTCAAAACTGCAAAATAAAGGGATGAAGTCACACATGCACTCTGATGTTTATCCTCAATACCCAATACAAAAGCAATTAAATGCATATGTAGGTTGTGTTTAAAACTTACTCTGTGTATGCACAACTACACAGATGCTGGAATGTGTAACAGCAGCAAACTGGTCCCAGCAGCAGCAGAGACCAGCCTGAGCCTACCCTTACAGCCTCCCCAGTTATGGTATTTGCAGAAATAAATAATATTATCCAGGACTGATGCAGCTAACACATAATCATCCCAAGTCCCTCCCACCACTCATCTGGTTTGTATCTGCAGTGAGAAATTTAACTGCTGCAGTCCAACAGTCCTGGATGAGTATGTCAAATTAAAGCAAATTGGAAGAAAAAGTAATTAGTTAGGCAAGCTCCATCTTAAAAGAACACATTGTTTTTAATGAACATTTAGTTCATATATTTAATATTAAATAATTAGTACTAATAATAAATAATAATTATTAAGTTTATTTATGTAAAAGCCAAAAAGAACTAAAATTCTAATTTTCTATGGAAAGTGTGTAAACTGATCTGCAAGATGGCACTGAAACAGTGATTACTCAAATACTCTGTCTATTCCTCTACCATGTTGGTGAAGTTTGGATGACAGGAGGTAAGAAGAAGTACTATAGAATATCAAGTCAAAAACCTCACTAACAAAATCCACTGCATTTGACATTTACTACTTTTGAGAACAAGCTGTAAGTGGGGTTGAAGAGCAGATGTTGCACTCCTCTGGTTACACTATGGAAAAAATGCTGGTACATGAAATGCACAACTTGGATTTAAGAGAGGCATAAGCTCAGGGATGAGACATGCAACAAGACAACAGAAAAGGGACCAAAACTTTTCCAGTTTCCAAGGTTGTTAGCTACAGGCAGCGCCTTGACTTGTACTGCATTTCAATTAGAACTGAAACTCTTCAAAATAGAGCAGCACTCAAACACACTTCCAGCTCAGAGCAATCAAAGACCTGGTGCCTAAAAACACCATTCAAAGCAGTAAAACTTCTCACTTCTAGAACAATAAACTCTACCATATTTAAGATGGATTTTCTGTCAAGTAGGTAAATTTGTCTGACTCCAGCAATAATATTTGAGACTGTGTGGAACACAATGCTTCTCCATGCTCAGCTAATAGTTTCAGTGTATCCAATCAAGAAAATGAGTCCTTTGTAAACAGAAGCGTGACTTAGTCTGGCACAAATTGCTACTGGTAACTCAAGTAGGATACTACAGATTACACCATGGAAAATGTGGAATCAATGAAAAACGTGGAATCAATGAAAAATGTGGAATCAATGAAAGGACTTTAGGGACACAAGGAGCTTATGCTGAAAAAGTTTTAGTGAAATTCTAGTCTTGAGAACTCATCTTGGACGCTCATTATTATTAAGAAAATAAGAGCTGAATGGAGCTTGGCTGTGACAAGTATTGAGAGGCATTGCTACAACTACGTGAACCTGCAAACTGAACAAATAAAAATGCTACCAAAACCCATCTGCTGCAGACCACAAAACTGTTTCTCAGTCTGAAGCAAGGAAAAAGATCTTAGCACCCTATCCACAGGCTAACTGAATCCCTAGGACAGTACAATCAGTTTCATTTCCACTATTAGGTGTGTTGTTTCCAGCTAAGCCAGAAACACACCACACCGCAAAAACACACCCTAGCGAGTCTTTGCCTGAGGCTCTCATGTACAATGCAGCCAGGAGCTCTTGAACCTGGGCTCTCCATTGCCCCACTTTGGGTGTCTATCTGCTTGTGTAAGATTGTTCACAAACTTCTTTTTTTAGTGAAAATACTACAAATAAAAAGCTGATCCTTGTTAACAAACCAAGGTGGAAACCACTGGAGAAGTGTTATTTAAACTCCAACACAATTCTGACACAGAAACAAGTTGCTAAGAACTGCCAGGAATGAAAGTAGCTTGACCAATTAATGTTCTAGAAAGCCTTCCAAATTAATAATGATGAAAAGAGCAAGGACAAAAAGGAGCAAGGACTGACCAATCCAAAAATAGAACCATCACATCAAGCTGCGAAACTGTGGGATTTGGAGACTGTAAGAGGTCCCTTCCAGTTCTGTCAAGCAAATGGGTTACAGCAAACAACTCAATGTGTGAAATACAAAAAAAACCCACATTACTAGCTGTCAGATAAATGTGTTACACAAAATCATGGAACCTAGCAAGATACAAAATTGGAATTTAATTAAGCTGAACTAGAGCAAAAGCCTTCCAGTAACCTTGCTGCTTAGAGCCTGGGAATACGAAAAATGTAGGGCATTAGCTTTCATTCAAGTCCTATTTAAACTTCCCACTGGAGGTTAGCAGGGAAGCTGGTAACTGAAAAGAGCATTTCTATTAAGTCTGCTGTCAAAGCTCTCACCCAGCTGGATCAATATTTGGATCAATATACACAGTTTGACAGAAGTCAAGACAGGTGATGACTGATCTCATTGTCTGGGCAAGTCATCAAAGCTACCAGAGTTCTGTGGAAGATCTTTCCTATCACCTAAACACTGTCTTGATACAGAACATAAGGAATTGAACAAAACAGGATCATGGACATTTTGAAATTTTAAGGAAGAAATAGCAACAATAATAAAAACTTGGAATAAACTGATCAAGATTAAATACTGATGAAAAGACTTTTGAACTACAGCCTTAAGCTAGTCTGTCCTGTTTGTATTTTTACCATAACTTGGTTTAACTGACTGAATGCTAGCACAGAACACATGTTCATTTCTTCACCTGGTGAGTTCAAGACATCATGAGGCAACAACTGGAGTGGATGAGAAGGAACAAGTCCTTAAGCTGCCAAACAGGGAACAGCACAGAATCCTCTGAGCGATGTACATCGGTTTCAGTCAAAGGCAATTCTGTCCTCACAGCACCCATTTATCAATGATTTTTTGTATTTGCTTTAGGAGTGGAGCATTGTCTACTTAAGGCAGAGAATACTGACTCCTATTTCATACAAGTTACTCAGCACCAACACTGAACCTCTCACTAAAAAACCTCGACCCAACAGAGTTTGAGAGTTTAGCATTTCTAGAAACACAAAAGCCTAACACGTGCTTGCCCTTCTCTACTTCAGAACTGGAGATGAAAACCAAGAATGAACAACTGTGAAATGTGTTCAACATTAAAGAACTTGCAAGCAGCAGAAGTTTATAGCCAGACTGTATCCTTCCTTTGAGAAGGAAAAAGAGCCAACAGGCAAGTTGCTTTACCTGTATTTTATGATAGTCTATCAAAGAGCTTGAAATGACCAGCTTTGTTTGATTCAGATGAAAATATATGAAACACTTCAGCACTTGTAAAAAGCTCATCAGCTGCCTTGAAAGTAGAAGGGAAACATCAACTTCTCTTGTACTTGCTGAGACTGAAAGGTCTAAGGTCTTAATCACTTTCTTTAAACAAAAATTTCAGAAAATATTCAGCTGACCTAATAAAGATGCTGTACAATATTAGAAAATCAACACCTATTCAAGAATAAGCAGTATTTAAACAAAACAAGATGACCAGAGGAATGGAGGAAATAACAGAAGATGACAAAGCCACACAAGCTTGATGTGTCTTGCATGACTCCAGGTACGATGCACTCTGGGACAACCTTCAGGGAGGATTATTTGCAGCAGCATGCCAAGAGAAGATCTACAGTCCAAAGTCATCAATTGCTGTTTATATGAATATTTCTATAGTTAATCAGGACAATTCAATACAAGAAGTCAAAGGAATTTCAGGTACTGTAAAAAGCCACAAGGCTGAAGGAATGATCTAGCAACTAATTGAGCACTTCACACAAGTGTACTGTGCCCTTCAGCTTCGTATTTATGTCTGCCCTTGTATCTGATGCAAGAGCAATGAACTCTACTTATTTCTGAAATGATCCTTTGTACTTTTACTAACACCTCAAAACAATGTAGTTTAAGACTGTCTCATTTCTTACATGGTACCTACCACATTAGCCTGCAAAGTTTCCTAGAGATTTGGGTCTGAAGGGACATTTCTGGAAAAACATTAATATTCACTCCTACTATACTTCTAAGGGAGCAAGATTAATTGAAATAATCACACAAAAAATAGCAGAGGCAGGACCTAAACCCAGAAAATATTTAAAGAGAAGAACACAATAGATTTTTATTACCTTTTTATTGACGTGACTGAATAAACAAGAATGTAGCCATTGATGTCTATGGAGTACGTCTGAGGAAATATGGAGTATTCATCCTGTGGAAGGAATATTGCATTTAAAATTAAGGGTGCCACAGTTCAGACCTTGATGCCATCAGATCACCATCAGGTAAATTGGTCATATCTCTAAGACATTTTGTATAGGTAGAATTTTAAGAATTCTTTCATCATAATGTCACATGTGGCATCTTTACCAAACCAAGTGAAAGCTGTAAGTCCATCTGTATACTCTACAGTTTAATCTACAGCTTTTATGGTTTATTCCCTCTAAGACTATGGATGAGCTGAAGCTCTTCCCAATCCTCTTATCCTGCTTAATTATCCCTTTGTATTAGGACAAAACATCCACTCCGTCCCACCACTAATTAGCAATTATGCCTCTTATCTTGCTGGTGATACATTTCAAAATCTTAATTTCAACAGCTGACAACAGGATTTAGCAGCTTGTAATTTCAAGTGACACTGATCACATCTGAATTACCTAAGGAATCTGGTAAGAAGTGAGTAATTGTGGCTTACTAACTAATGCTTATCAAATGCAAAAAATACAGTTATCAGTCGCTTCATGACAACTGAAAGTTACAATATAGGACAAGTGTTTACATAAATAAAAAAACAGGCAAAACCACCAGAAACTTTACTCAATGAATTTATTACCCCTCTAGAAAAGGACTGACCAAATAGGCAAACAAAACAGACTGACATATTGCAGGTAAAGCAACACAAATACTATGGCTTCAATGTTAAAAACCTGTTCCAACAGATATTCCCAGGAAACTTTTCCATTTTGACAAGAGCCATACTTCCTAATGTATGAGTTCTCAGATTGTTAAACCTATGCTTTGGAAGATGTTAATTTTAGCTGAAGATCAAATAACCTCTCTGTTATTGTCATGGCTGAACAGATGGAGCAGTGCAATCACACAGCTTAAATCTAGACAGCCAAAAGGAATCAAACTTCCCTTACTGGCAGAAGAGGAAAAACTCTTTATAAATCAACTTCACAGATCCAGCCAAAAAAAGTTTGAAAGAATAACACTTGGCAAAAGCTGCCCTCATCTGCCTTTATTGCTACACACTGAGGGCAGCCCTCCCCCATCTCCTCTGAAATGCCAAAGTGCCACTCCAGTTGGATGTGATGTCCCAAAGTCAATACAGAAGGGATCCGAGCTAAGTCTGTGTAAAAAAGGTGAAAGTGCAACTCTGTAGTGGCTTGACTTTACCTGGAATTTCCCAGGACTGCCCCAGCTGGAATTTGGTGTTAGGTAAGATTTCCTTTTACACCCCTCTTCTGTGACCCTGTATCAAGCCCCCTGTTGAACTGTACTGCACAAAGCTCAGTAAATAACCAGGAAAATAAAGAGGCACAAGACAGAGGAGGAATACCAAGAAAAATAAGTGCCATGATCTCAACTGTTCCTAATTCACGACTTTATTTTTAGCTTTTTAGGAGATGGAAGGAAAGCTGCTATGCTCACTGCAACTTATGGGTCAAATTAAGAAATTTGTCAAGTGATAAAATAATGTTGCTACAATTTTTCAAGCCATAGCCAGGTTTTCAAAAGTTTGTAACAAATCTGCAATACAATTCTTGCTGTGCTGTATACGTATGAGGACTCCCTATGGGCCATTAAGCAAGAAAGACTTGAGAACTAAATCTGTCCAAGCCACGCCCTCCATAACCCAACATCATCTCTCCCCTCTAACCCTGTGTGCCAGAAATCAAAGTTCAAATTGTTCCATGAAGAATTAAATCTGAAAATAACCACAGGCTGGAAAAAAAGTTGTTTAGGTTCCACAATACTGTATAACTTTAAATCAATCCTCAGCAATACAGGTATGTTAGTGGTGAGTCACATTGCCTTCCCAGAAGGCAATTTCCTCCTCAAAAAGGAATTTTTCTTTTATCACTATGCTACACAATTGGAGCTGTAACGCAAGTGCACTTACAATGGCAGTGAGTGACACCTATGGAGCTCATTCTGCTGCTCACACTCCTCAGCCTGCCCCTCTCTCACCCTCTCCTCCGCAGAGCATTCCCCATCCAGCAATCCTGCTCCAGGACATGTGGCTGGTGGTGTGCTCAGACACCTCTGAGTGATTACACATGTTGCTGATAAGCACCAAGGGCTGACACCATATAAATACAGCACAACTATTCCCCAGTCACACAGCTCTCTTCCAAGAAAGCAATCAAACATACCTAGAAAGCTCCAACCCCTCTAAAGAGTCTCTCAGTTATGAGCAGGCATCCTGCAGCTTTAAAGCTTTAAGTACTGGCAGAGTATTTTACAACACTAACATTGTTTAACACTACTGATGGTTTGGAAAAACCCAAAGGCATAGTATGAGATCATGGAATGCAAAAGCATGTAAGCAAAAAAAAAAACTTAGGATAAAAATACAGGGGTTTAGTGGTCCCTGATGAGGTTTTTTTTCCCTAATATAGTCTCTCAAAAAGTGCAGCACTCTCGTGCATGGGTTCAGCCAAGCAACACTGTGTAATGAACACCTGTACCTGCAAATAATGACCACCTGCACTTCCCAAAGCTCCCCAGCACGCTGCAGGACACCTGCTCCCTGTCATTATGTGGAGCTCGGACACACACGTGAACCATCATGTTAAAATGCAGACAAACTGCAGCAGTTTATTGGTAACTCAGTAAGTACCACCTACATGAATCTGTCTGCTCCCCATGACTGCTCCATGGATACAAGTCATGGTAGTGTAGCTGGAGCAGACAAATACAAAAAAGCCAGGAAAAATTTCCCCATGGTTTACTGAAGCGCCATTTTTCATCTAAAGCAACACTGCTCATTTACTCACTAAATATCACACAAGCTACTGAAGAACTTTTAGGACATCAGAGTTAAGGTAGTGTCCGCTTCCCTTTTTTAAGCACTCATTCAATAGATAGGGAAAAAAAAAACAACCCAGTAACAAAACATGAACCAAAACCTTTAAACACTACAGAAAAAGTTCTTTAGTGTCTAAATAAGTCAGGATCATTTTTAACTTTCACCTCTGAATGCACAGTCACTACCAACTTAGCTCAACAGGAGCATGAATACCTGTTGTCATAACTAGGAATAAAGATTCAAAGAAAGATTAACTTACCTGGCCAGCAGTGTCAACCAGCTGAAGATGATATTCTTGGCCATTTACTGTGATCAGTTTTGTAAAAGCTAGAACAAACAAGAAACACATAAACAGGTCAGAATTACACACAAGGAAGAGATTAGAAGTCACTTGTCCATGACAAGTCCATCAGCCAAAGCATGAAGAAAATCCATCCATTTTTGTCCATCAGCCAAAGCATGAAGAAAAAGACCTCCAGTTAGAGGTTTTTAAGTAGCAATAAAAGGTTGATCAGGCACTGTACTTTTAACTAGTCTATTGCAGATAGAAAAACTCAGAAATTTAAGATTTGAAATTTCAGATGATTTTCACACTGGATGCAGCAGCTTCTTCTTTGCTCTCTTAAAAAGAAAGAGGGAATAAGATGAATAAAAAGGGGGATTTCCATGCATTTTTACAAGATCCAGACAACCATAATTTGTGGTAACACAAGACACTTAAATTCAGTTGGCATCAAAGCTAAGTTTGAACTTATTATAGGATCTTTTCCTTGCTTTCCAAGCAGTTTAGCAAGATAAATTTCCTAAATGTAAATACCATGAAGTAAGTGATCTGGACTGAAAAAAGGAAAAATCTTTGGGGGCTAAAACACACAGAGAACTTACGATTATATTAAACCTAAATTATGACAATTAGCTAAGTTCACCATGTTGCTTTCACATTTGCTGTAGCTACCAGCCTATGCAGTCCCCAGTCACGAAGTACATTCAGTTCCTAGAGAATTGCGGCTCTTCATTGGATTCATGAAATGCCAATGCGCTGTGAGCTGAGGAATCTTACTCAGTGTTTGTGTTATGCAACTGCAAAAGCAAACAGTGGCACAGCTCTTGCAGGAATAATGGCCCAACCAGAGCACAAAAACTTGGCTCTGGATGTCTCGTGTGGCCTTCAAGACACACTCCAGATGGCATTGCTGGGCACTACTGATACACTGAGTAAAGTCTGTGTTACCCTCTAGTTGGGGTGGTTTTCCCAGCTAATAACAGTCCTCAGAAACTTCATCTGTCACTGCAGGGATGAGCAGAGAAAGACAGTCAGATGAACAGGGCACTTAGGTGAGCTGAGTTGGACAACAGCTTCCCAAAGCTGCACAGCTGAACGTTCCTGACCCCGCTGTGCAGTCCTTGCCCACGCCTGAAGTTGATGGAGTTGGCCAACTTTCCTCCTCCCAGCCAAAGCTCGTCGCTCTGTCAAGTCCCCACAATGTGAGCATTATCTTGAATAAGTGGGCTGAAATAGCTGAAACTGGAGGTTTCAACCCACCTCATAAATCCAATCCTTGAAAAAAAGGAGCAATTCAAACAGCAAAGCCAAGTTAAATGCCTAAATTAAAGCTAAGTGTCTAAATCAATAGTGTAAAGTGTACCTGTAGTTTCCATTACAAGATCAGCAAATGACATTTGAAATGGAGCCTCAAAGAGAGCTCCTGCCTTACCCTGGTTATCACCTAAGATAGCTGCTTTAGCACATGTGCTGCCCTCAAATCAGTCTGGATAATGTTGTTATCACTGCACAAAAGTTTTAGGTTATGAAACACAGATCTACAACAGCTCTTTGGCTTGGATGGATGCTGTGATGAGGACAAACTGTTCGAACAGATGTTAGCAGGCAGCATTGCTACATACAATATCACTGCTTGGAGTCAGAGGGAAAACAGACTCCTCTGGAGACACACTGCATTTACAGGTGTGTGCAAGTAACAGCCTCCCCAGTCTCTTGACACTTCACATACGCATCAAAGCACTCTGCAGTCAAAGTAGCTTCAAGGGCATCATGAAGTTAATATTTAAAAAGAGACAGACGGCAGTTTTCTCAGACTATTCTAGAAGCCTAGAAGAGATGCAGCAACAATGTCATCATCATCATTACTGAAAGCCGAGTGTGACAGAGATAGAAGGGAAACAGTGAAGGAGTCACCACAGCTTGGTAAGGAGAGCTGTGAGTGCAGTGCAGAGCCTTGCAGCACTAAGCACAGCCCACTGTGTGAAGACAAATCTGCTTTGATGAAGTCACAGCTAATGACTTCCATTTCTTTGCTGAAGCTTTTAAAAACTCCCGGTTAAGAATTTAATTTTGTGAAAATCCTGGTCCCCTTGATCCAGTCTAAGTGTTCACTTCCAATTCCATTACCTATCATCCTGGGACATCTGCTGTGCTTGTGCACAAGACAAACAACAATATGATGCCTGCACAATTTGGCTCTTCCTGGTAGTCCAAGGACACTTTTCAGCAGAGCTGACCTGACATTAAATCATAATGTGAGCATCTCCAAAACACTGCTCATCAACTGGAACAAGGATTTTTGGAACAGTACATTCTTATACCTTGCCACACAACTCCAGTGATCATCACTACCTGAAGATCAAGTACATTGCAATTAGACAAGCAGGAATTAAATGATTTGAATGTGCAACTCAGTGACAGCTGCTGTGGAAACAAGCCATTATGATGAAAAAAAAAAAATCCCAAACAGTAACAGGCAAAGAAATGCAGGCCTTTAGATTAATAGTGATACCAAGGAAAGGTACAGGAGTGATGTAACATCATTGCCATAATCTGGCTGGTAGCTAAATACAACCAATTTGCAAGGGTTCCTTGGTTACCTACCACCTCCTGCGTCCCTTTCTACTTGCCTTCATTCCAAAGTCAATGCCTGCCACTAATCTACCAGGACATCTTTTAAAACACTGAGATGGTGTGATGCAACAGAGCTATTTTTAGTTTTCCTCAGAAGCCTCACTTGCACCCCTTAGAAGGCTGCTCCCCAGCAGCTCCTGAGAAGCACAGTTCACCCTTCCAGTGCAGTTGCCAAGGCATGTGTAGAAACTTAGCCTTGGAGATTCTCTGTCCGACTCATCTAAACCTAAACGTGCCCCATCCACAACTAGTAGGGGTCCTCCAGCCCCCTGCCCCTTTCTAATATGCTTCTACTCACAGCTGTATTAAAAAACATGGGATGGAGGTAGGAAGCATGGGGGAAGATGTTCCTTTCGTTAGGGAGTTAGTGAGGCCATTTAGGGGAGAAATTAAGATCACAGAGCTGTGAAACAATGCTAGAAGGCCCTCTAAAATTGCAACAAAAATTAAAAAGCAGCCAGGCAGGCTTTGGAGGACACATTTGACACCTGGCCAATCAAGTAATCTTACTTGCAACACAAGACATCCCTGCAAAGATGATGTGAGTGTAGTTAAGTGCACATCTCCATCACCCATTCCTTCTCACCCATGTGAGTTTCAAATTCAGGTTCTAGTTTTCACTCCTGTAAAACTGTTGCATTTTAATTTGCACCGGTCCTAGTTCATGTGAGTTGATCTGCCTTGCAAAGCCCCATCCAGCCCAGTGTCCACACAGACTCCCTGCACATACTCCTGCTCTCCAAGGATATTTCTTCTCTTTCCAACATTCCTGCAAGAAGTAGTTCCACTCACTTCTCAACCTGGCTGTCTCAAGAATGGTCACCCATTGAGATGTCACTCCTGTTGGGACATTCTGACAGGGAAAGTCTCTTTCCCCAAGCAATTATCTCTCACCTCCAGCTCTGTCACAACAGGATACAAGTTACTCTTCCTGACAGGTTTAGAAGGAGCAACTGAATTCAAGATGCTCCTTAACTGAAATAAATTAACTTTCTGGTGCTAATGTAATATAAGGAAAGGAAAATGTAGCAGCAAAGCTGTCTTAACTTTGACAAACATTAAGCAAAATCTGATGCACTTTCATTTCCTTTTATCACTTCCAAAGGCAGAGATTTTCACCCTTAAAACCTGAAATTTCTACAATATTAGGTCTTACTCCTATTGCTCAAAGCCTATAAACTACACAGCTTGTTCCTGTAAGACCTTGACTACAGCTTGCCTTATATACAATTTATTTACACAATTTTGCAGTCAACATTTCATTCAAGTTTTACTATTTGAAGACAAAAATGATAAAGACTGCATTACCAGCAGTACTGCAGCTTTCTACCCTTTCTTCACTGCTGGTAGAATACGGTAACAAATTATCAACAACAATTTTCTGGAGACAAAACAGAAACCACATAGGCCAGACTATCCTTTCCCATGTATACTTTTCATGTCCAAGTTTTGTTAAACATGTAGACCCAACCACTTGATGAAACTGAAAAGGTTTTACAACTTATTATAATGCCCTGGAAAAATGCAACATTCTCCAACACTGTCCCTAGTATAAGAACCTGGACTTTCAACCCTTTCTGCCAACGTTGTCCACCAAATGTGAAATCACAAGCTAGGAAAAGTCTTAAGAGTTGATCACGTACTTTGCGTCTTATGACCCTACACAGAATCAGAAACACAGCTGGGAGTGTCCAAAGATTTCACTGAACAAAGCTTTATAGTTAGGAAAAAAAATTAATGTATTACATTCTTAAATCAAAAGAATTAGTTTATAGTTAGCCCATCAAAACTAGCTTCACATCCGTCTTAAAAAAAAAAAAATCCAGTAAGTTTTAAATTTCAGTGTTAAATTAGAATGTATTCTCTTGTCTGTTTTAAAATATTATCTCCATCAGGCATTCTGGGGCTTAAAGATGGGACAGATTTCCCACTGTTTTGAGCCCCAGGGCATAAGTTATCTTTTCAACATTTACTTCCCAGCAACGTTTTCTCATGTCAGAAGGACCCTTCAATTCTCTACCTTTCAGAAAGCAAATTCCTCCAGCCATGCCACAGATCACAAGACTTACACCAAATGAATAATATTGTTTGTTTTCCAAACAGGAAATCAAATGAAAAGTTAAAGCTTTTCAAGATGCCCCCTCTCAACAAGTCTTCATGGCCAGGACATGTTCAATGCTTAGAACTCAGATCAAGCAAACAATGCAGACTACGAGAGACAAGAGCAAAATTCATCTAGAGTTTATTTTTGTATAGTTCAGAAATGCTGAAGTTGTGAGACACACAACTACAGAGTTACAAACAGCAGCTACAGACAACAGATAAAGATGAAACAAGACAAATCTTGTAGCAACATGTCAAAATCCTAAAACAAGACACAGGTCCAGCATTTTGTAGAGACTTTGACTCTGTGTCTCTCAATCTTCACTCATTCACATGTAGCTGCATAAAACTAAAAGATTACTTTAAATAATTTGCACTTATATGGCACAGACAGTGAAAAATAACCTGACCCAAGTGACACTAAACCCCAGTATTTTGCTAGCAGCTTTAATTCAAGACATACATGATTTATAATTCAAGCCAAGTGAAAAAGGATGATGGAAAGTCAGTATTAATGACATCTGTATAGGAGCTAACATTCAGACCAAGGGCCAAAGTGTCCACTCTGACTTGCTAAAGCAAATTTAGTTTCTCAAAAAGTAGCATTTGAATTTCAGTTCTAAGCAATAAAATAATCCCAAGTAAAACATCCTGATAGCTATTGATTTGTAATTATATACCATATAAATATATATATATATTTTAAAAAAAAACTTTGTTCTTCTGATTGCTTCATTCAAACTTCCAGAGTATCACAGAGGCTTACCATCATCCTACTGCAGAAGTTCAAAACACTAAATATGTGTGCTAGACCACTGCATTTCAGAAGTCATTAAAATACAAGAACCTCAGGGCCACAATCATGAAACCACTTTTATTTGCCACATGACTAAAGTAAGCCAACATGATCACATTACTCAGCCCAGCACTGCAGTTGTTCAAGTACTTTATGGCCACTGCTAGCTCAGAAAGAGGTGGCTGGATTGTAATGAATGCCAGGTAACCTCTGAAATTACTTTTTGCTCTTGGCAGCATTTTTAGCATTAGTGTTTTTACTCACCTGCTATGCCAGCTACTCACAAAGGTACGAAAATTATTTTTTAAAAAAAACTGCTAAGAGAAAAACAAAAGCACTTGTGATGTCAAATATCCAGTATTTGCAGCAAGTTGACTGTGTACCAGCCTTGTTATCCAGCTGCTGAAAAGGAGTAAAAGGAGTAACTGAAAAGATTATCATGTTATCATAGCCACATAGTCTCCCTTCCAAGATAGTGGTTTAATCCTGATGGATATTGCTGGCTTTCTGTTCATCTGGATATACTGATCCTATGTGAGACTGGAGTGCTTGGATTTGGTGGCATGTTTTCATATAGTGTGATGTAAGGAATTTGAAGTGCCCCACGTACTACATTAGGGGAAGCAGATGCTCAACAACACACATAAAATACAAGGAGGTGAATTTTAGCCAGATTCATTAGGTGTCCCTTTACTTAGTGTTCAAAGTTCAGCTGTTAGGCAAAATATGCACACAGTGATTTCCATGCTGCAACAATGCAGCATTGGTTTAAAAGAATAATACAACTTCTGTGGTAATTGATGGACTTTAATGTTAATATGTAAATACCCACGTAAGTACTATGTATAACCCCAATGGCTTCAGATACAAGTTAGTTTGGTTCAGAAGAGGAGCTTGGCAGTTATTTACTTACTGTTCTCTATGGTTGGATCATATGAATCAACAAACTGTCCTTCCACAAACTGGATCGTCAGTGAAGATTTTCCTGTAAAGCAAAGGAAAGAAAAATCTGGAATGAAACAGAGTCTTCAGGTTGTTATCACTTCACTGCTTAGTAGTAGATACACCAATTTTCTATCTAATATGAGCTCCGTGTGGTTTGTTTAAACTATCTATACATGACAACTGACCTATTTTTAATTTAAGTGCCTATTTCTAGTAACTGGGTCTCCTGAACATATAAAAAGCAGTGCAAAAGCTATTTGGCATGTGTTCTGCTTTTGTTTTAACAGGGCATAATTTAAATGATTCTTCCAGCTAAAAACAAATCTAAAAGCAGCAGTGCACAATCCTCATAGAACTAAATTTTACAAACTGATACACTTGGAACGTTTTTCTGTCAAGAAGCAAGTAAAATTCAAAATAATTTTCAGAAACCACAGAAAAAACTTGGATAGAATTAGCCAAATTTGCTTTTACTAGGAGACTGGACAGATTTCCCATGACAAAAGGATGATCTCAAAATTCTTGAGACCAATATACTCTCCTGTTAATCCTCCTACTGCCACAACAGACCAGTGGATGCTGTATTTTAAGCAGTGACTGAGGTGGCATAATTGGATTTTTCTTTAAAGCAATTTAACTGCTACTTTAGCAGACAACATTCCCCATTTCACTTAAAGAGTAATGCAAAGCACTGAACTTAGTAGCAGACTGAAAAAATGTTTAGTTTTGAAAGGTTTTACAAGATGGTGAATCACATACATTGACCAAAAAAACACCTTTAAAGCTCTGCAACTGAAGACTTCCCAAAGCACTACTGAAGCCTTAACACAATTTCCATTACAGCATATCATCTACTTTTGGGAATCTCCTAGATCCTATTACATTACGTTTACTGGACAAATACCCTCTTACAAAGATTGCCAAGTGCATTAGCTGCTTTTGGACACGAGAACATTCTTCGTGCTCCGTTATCTCTTTTCATCGTCATGAAGCACAAACAAAATACAACCTCAAAATTTTGACTCAAAACCATCAGACTCATTGGAAACCTCTCAATGACACCTTAAGTAACCAACATTACGGTGGAAATATACAATACCATTGTTTTCAAGAATAAATTGCTTTGGGTAAAATGTGCCCACTTCCAGTACTCAGAAAATGTTCTTTCCTAAGCATTCCTTCAGGAGATAGTAAAAAAAAAATCTTCCATTTCATTCTCTGTCATGCTTACACCCTTGCTGTCTCCTAACAATCATGACAGTTTATACAAGAAACAATGCTAAAAAAATCCAGACAAACCCCTCAAAAACCAAGCATCACCAAGGTTTTATCAAGTTGCTTTTTCTAAAATCAAGTTCTTAAGATACATTTTCTGGTCTTACCTAGCACCACAACTGGAGGTATCATGCTCACAATGCATGAGTTGACAGAGGACATTTCACTCTAAACTGTTGCTCCAGCAAGGCACACACTCCACCTCCAAATCATCCTAATAAAGTCAGATTAAGGATTGAAACTGTGCCTCCCAGGAACTTCCCAAAACTGTGTATTTTGGACACCATTTAGAAAGCGAGCAAATTTTCAAGCTATTTCTCCTTTAGCTATAAATTTATGAAGTTGCTACCCAGAGTTCATGTTCCTGGAGTCTTTGCCAATACCAGCACATTAAGCACTCCATTTGAAAAAAAGCTTAACTACCTCTATATTAGGCTGTTAGATCTTCAAGGTAAGAGAGTTAAGTTCAGTAAAGATCATCATTGAAATTTTTTCCTCCTAAGGATTCTGAACTAACTGAAAGACTTTGACTGCTGCCGTCTGTCTGTGCTAAGCCTGGAAACTGAATAGCAGAACGAAGTCAAAGCCAACAGAAAATGTTGCATTTCACACCCAGATGTATTAATTAGTGCTTTCCTCCTAACAGTGAAAGAGGAGGAAACAGACAAAACCAGTGTTCTAACACTCTCCTCCTAAATTCCTCCAAGCTTTATAACAAGCCTTTCAGTAATGATGTGTTCATGCTCACGAGAGGAAGCCTGCTTTCTTCCATGAGGCACAGGGAAACTCTCCTGTCTGGAATTCAACACCCAACCCCTTGGGGTAAGTGCAGGCAACTGTACCCCACTAAACCAAGGCTTCCATGGACATGAGAAATCTAAACCCTGAGTCATTAACGCCCAGCCGCCCGTGTGTCTCAGCCCATGAGCAAGCAGCAGGCAGAATTCTGTGACCAATAGGTTGGCTTGAACTTTGTCCCACAGGGTTTTATTCCAGGCCTTTGACCTATGCTCGTGGACAGAGGGGAAAATCAAGTTGACAATTTAGCTCCTATCTGCTCTTGCCCCAGAAAGATCAGGCAAGGCTTTCAGCAAGGATTGCAACACAAACACAACGTCCGTGAGGCCAAGGGACCGCACGCAACCACGCCTGCCGATGTGCCAGCTCCATCTCGGAGCGCGGCAGGGAAGACACAGCTGTCCAGATGTGCAGGCACCACAGGCACGTTTCTGCCTCAACAGCACAAGAGAGTCTGACACCAGCAGCAAAAGCTTGATTAGCTGATTACTCAAGGGTGCACACCTTGAAGAGAGGCTCAGCTCCAATGTGCCCTCCTTTGGAATAAAGCCACACATTTTTGCAGTTCACTAAGCTGCTCCTTGTAGCATCCTTCACACTGGAAAATTCAACAAATCCATTGTATTCAAGTCTTAGGAAAATAAACATCCACTGAGACCAAAAGTAGAAGGGAGCTGAAGCAAGGCTGGAAGCTGGGTACAGAGCTTTGCTACGGTAACTCAAAGCACCAGATACTCTGTGGCAGAGTTGGAAGCAAAATTCTCCAAGTTTAATGACTCTCCCTCTGCCTGAAGGAATGGGGCAGAAGGGAAGGGTTGTAAGAAATGTGTTTCATGAGTGTTTAGAATACAAGTCCCAGGTGGCTGAAAACTCAGCTCAAGTTGTCCAGAAGTACCCAAAGTGTATTTGCATACACAATTCATTATTTATGGTATTATGTAATGTGAGAGTGGTAACGAAAAGAGTTTTCCACTGTCAAAACAGGAAAGGAGCAGATTTTCACAGAGAAAGCCAGTTCAAAAACTAAAGCTGTTGTGTTTCTGTTCATACACTAGACCACTTGCACCATAAAGCAGAACATCCCATAAACACTCTGACTAGTGCAATCATAGCACATCAGTTTCAAATGCCAGTGCAATTGTCAAGGCAAAACAATTGCCAAATTGTGTTTTACTCATCCTTTTACTACTTGGACAAGAGCTGTGGTATTTATAATCCAGTCTTAAAATTCAAGCTTTACAACACTAGGCAGTTTACCAAGCAGATGAGTAACAGAGCCTAGGTGGGCTTGGGGACAGCTGGTCTCCCCAAAGAGGTCACAGATTCTTCTGTGCACCACCACCTGCCTGCTGCCCCCATCTCACACCCTGTTCTCCTTGCAACAGGCTGGGGAAAAGCCCAGATTAAACTCTCATTGGCAGCCAAATTCTCCCCAAACCCAGGAGACAAAAATGATGCAACCAGGCATCGAGCAAGTCCAACAACAGCTCCACAAGCAGGGCATTGTGCAAGCAGGGCTGCACAGCTGCCCTCGGACGTGGCACGGCCACGGGCAGCGCAGTGCAGCTTATCTCAACAGGAAGGGTTTCTCAATCCTTGAAACTGCCCACACAAGCCATCAGTAAACAGTTTGTCCTGCTCAAGAACAACAACTACTGAGGAGCTGCAGTTCTGCTGGCAGTGTAGATGCAGTTTCTTTAGCCCATCTTTTGCTATTAAAATGCACAATTATGTAGTTGCCATAATCAATAAACATTTAACTGCTGGCAGCATCTCATCCACTCCTACCACAAGCCTTGAGCACCTTACCTAAGCTAGTCTCTAGACTAACTTAGTAATTAGACTTACCTACTTAGTCTCCTTAGACTCTCCTTAGGTCTACCTAGTCTTGCCTACAGAACAAACTACTTTGGGCTTTGTCACAAAAAGCACTCAACAAATTTCATAATAAAATGCTGTCAGTCATGTCAAATTAGGTAAGTGTGACAGCACACTCAAATTCCTACACTGCACAGAGATGAAGTTTTCATACCAAAAGAGACACTTGATTTAACTTGAACACTGGTATCTTCATCTTCTTTAATTCACAATACCAAGACGCACAAAATGGAGACACTGGCATTTCCACAGTGCAGATTATCTATTCATCCTCAGAGCACAGAGCGGGACTGAACGACTTCCTGGAGCCGATGGAGGTTGGCTGGGTAGCAAAGAGGATTACAGCATCCCTCTTTGACAAAGATCTTCTCACAAGATCACAGGCTATCTCAGAACCCATCACTAGCTCATCATTCATCTCAGGCCACATCATTAGCAACTTTCTATGCTTAATTAAGATACCCCCCCAGGTACTAATTATGGCTGTGTAGTTGCTGTTTTGCTGATCATTGCTTTGTATTTGGTGAATTAGTCTAATGACTATAAAAATGATACATCTTTGTTAATAACAAATTCTGTTTCTAAATCTCTAAAGACAGCAATACAATGAGTAATTTGTGTTTTATTAAGATGCAACTTATTTCTACTATTAGACTTCTAATTGTGAGGAATTATATAAACATCTACATTGAGCTGTAGCTTTATACGTTATTGTAGTGATTTCCTTGTGATGTTAGCATTACAGTAACAGGATTAGAAAATTATTTTCTGATGCTTAGAGACAAAACTCTTCCTCAGTCCCTGCAATGAGCTCAATTCCTGCACTTGCTCACGATATTCATGCCTGATTTACAACACAGTGGTGGCACTCCTCTCAATGTGCTCTCTGAGCTTTCTGGAGGACACACTAAAGGTTGCAATTCTGTAAGAGTGAAAGTTGGAGGACCTCAATGACACATCTTTTAGTAATTGATAAGGAGCCTCAAACACTGCAGAACCCTTTATGACAAACCAAAAAGCATGTCAGCTTTTCAGGACAACAGAAGTTCTTCTTTAACTTCTTTGGCAATCTGTCTCATTGCTACAACT